ACACACACACAAGCACAAACTCTCTCTCTCTCACTCTCCCTCTCTCTATTACACGCACAAACACACACACACACACACACACACACACACACACACACCGCCCCCCCACCCAGTGTCATCACCTTCAACCGTGAGGACGCCAAGGGCTCCCACGTGGTCAAGGACACCTTCAAGGAGCTCTCACGCTTCAAGGCCGTCCTGCTGTCAGCCAAGGCCGCCAACGTGCCCGTCAGCGCCTGAGCGCACCGGTCGGCGGGGCGCGCGCGCTTCAGGGCCGCCCCGCTCTCAGCCAAAGCGGCCAACGTGCCCGCCTGCGCCTGAGCACGCCTCCGCTGACGCCAGCAAGGGCCGCGCGATGCCGCCTGATGCTGCTCGGGCAGCGCGGGAGGCCGGCCTTTTGGACGGTCGGTAACCGAAAGGTCAGCACTCGGGGCCTCGGTGCCAACCTCCGCGGTCCTCGCGACCGCGCTCCAGCCGCCAGCTGGCGGGGCCCGGCCGGCAGGGGTTGGCGGGCGCGGGCCCGCCGGGCGGGCTGGCGGCGGTGCCTGCAGCAAGTTGAGCAGCTAGTGCAGGCTGGCCCAGGGCCGGGCGTCACGATGGCGCCGGTGCCGAAACCGCTTGTTTTTTTGGCGCTGGCAGCCCAGAAGTGCTGCCTTTTGAAAGCACACGGTTACCATGCGCCCTCAGCGTTTCAACACACTTTTTGGAGTCGTGCGCACCCGTCCCTGTAACAGGCATGGGGTGCAAAGGGGCAGATCAGGCCCTGCTGTATGCTTTTCCTGACTTCTACACTCAAGCCTGGATACGCTCGCACCAGCGCTGCCGCGCCTTGCCTTGTATGGGTCTCAGCTGGTTTGGAGCCAGCATTCAGCAAACCGGCCGGCCAGCTTGCAGGGCTGACAAAGAGTGGAAGAGGAGTGCTTTTCAAATTACATTTGAAATGATCGTTTGTGAGGGGTCCGCATGAGGAGGCCGCTTGAGGGGTAAAACCCGGTGGTGAAGAGTCTATGGTTGGTGCAGGCGGCGCGTGCGCTGGCGCCAGACCCGGAGCAGCGCGTGTGCCCGCAACTCGGCAGCCCCCACAGGTGTACTGCTGCCGCCGTAACTGCAGCCTGGGGCCGTCATCCTCGCTCCATTGAGAGCTTCGCGCCGCCGCGACACTGGCGCACCACTGTTGGCCTGTTGCAACAACCAAGCGCGGGCGGACAGGCACTGCAGGGTGCTCTCGTCCCCAAAATTTGTCGAGGCACCGGTGCGCGATTCCCTAGCCCGACTGCCTTCAGTCGGCACTTGAAAGGCCGCCCGACAATCGCCTTTACGTCCAATCGGCGTTGCCGCAGCGCTAGGTGTCTTCCAGTGCGTCGGGCAAGCCTCGCAGCGGCGGGGCGCGAAGTGCGGCGCAAAGTGCGTTCGATGTGTGCTGTAGGCATCTGAATCTGCCCCCAAGCTACCAGCACGGCATCTTCTGAATCGTGCAACTTGAGGACAGCCGGCAGCAGGAGCAGCGGCAGGCAGGGAGTCTGCAGGGCGCCAATGGGAGCTCCTGGCGCACGTGCAGCCACTCAGCAGCCAACAAGACCTCAAAAATCCTCCCCAGCCTTGTCAGGCATGCTTTGTCGGCTTCTGAGCAAGCGCAGGTGACTGTCGGGGGCGCTGAGCTGTGCTTTTGCTGCCTGTGCTGCGCTGTGCTGGCGAGCGATTTCTTATCATCAACAGCAGACCGGATGCTGCGCATGGGCCGGCCAGCGCCGCCTGACCCCCACATCTAGCAACCACCCTTCTCAGCTAAAGGTATCCGTCCCGAGACCTTGAATCATAGCACTCTCTCCCTTGCCATCTTATGAGACCGTCAGCATGCATCCGTGTTACAGCAGAGGGCTGCGTCCCAACAAAAAGCATCTGCCCAGTCCGCAGCGCCTCTTCGGCGCAAGGGCGTACGCACAACCACGGTTCGAATTTCGAAATGTCCCCCCCTCGGCGGGGCTGCGGGAAGGGCTCTTCCTCGGCTTTCAGGGGGTCTGCCGCCTGCGTCTCTGTCCAGGAGCCCGCGCCGCCTGCTTGGCGCCCCGTCGGAGGGGCTTTGGCAAGACCTCCACCTCAGCTGCTCCGGCCCTCAATGGGAATGAGCGTCGGTGGCGCTGCAGCAGACCTGCGGGCATGCACACACATGCAGGGGCCGCCCGCGGCGGGGCGGCTAGAGGCGCCGGGAACGCGGGGAGCGCGGGCGCGGGGCCGCCCACGGGCACACAAACCTGGGGGCGAGGAGACGAGCTGGGGAGGGCGGCCGC